AATCTACAAAGTGCCTCCACATGATCAGCTTCCACTCGCAGCCATTTCTAGATCAAAAAGAAACCTGACATCTCTAGAAGGGGGTCACCCAGTTCACCACCCCGCCCCCCAAAGTCTACAGCTGAAAGACCTTTTTTTGGAGCTGGGTCTCTTCCTTATCTCGGAGAGGGGAACACGTTAAAGCTGAATCCGCTGTCACCTGGAGGTCCAGCATGATATTAGCAATGCTTGTATCCCAGACATACAACATTAACAGGTACACTCGAATTCTGAAGGTAGCTACGCTGCAAAATAGCTTAAAATTAGATGATTGTACAGTATTCATTTATGCTTGGAATTCCAGCCCTAGACCGAGCTTGTGGCCACCCGCGTTGACATTCTTGCCGTCCAGCAGAGCGGACAGCGTCAGCTTGATGCCTGGCTTTAGGGTCTGAGTGTAGCCTAAACCGATCAGGCTGGAGTTGTGCACCTTTGCCGAGAAGCAGGCGTCAGGGTCGATCTGATACTTGGCTGCTGTTCCTAAGTGAGTGTTGCTATTCCCGGCTGTGCAGGTGAGATTGACAGCAGTCTCCAACTTCTTGTTCACCTTCTGGTTAATGGAGCTTCCAAACTCTATCCTGTCGTTCACGTTGGTGTGACGCTGGAATTCATCCGCCTTGTAGCCAACCGCAAAGTTGCTCTGGGTCACCCGACTGGGCGGGCCGTCTCGAAGTTCGTCTGGTGGCTGGCCAGCCAGCCCTCGTAGCCCAGCACCAGAGCCCCGCGGATGGCAGGCCGGCGATGTCCAAATGCACGTCGCAGCCCAGGTCGACGTGCTCCCCTCGTACCCCGTCTTGATGTTGGCGTTCTTTTTCCCAGTGTTGGGGAAGAAGAATGAGTCAAAGGTCAGCTTCAGTCCGCGGGTCAGCTGGTCTTCCACGGGGATCTCGGTGCCGAGCGTGTTGTCTGTGTTCCACTTCTCCGTGAAGTCAGCCCGTGCTCAGTCCACTGGCCCTTGGTTTCCAGACTGCCCGTGACTTTGTTGGTCTCAGTGTTGGCTGAGCCGGAGCTGGTAAATTCCAGTCCATTCTCGGATTTTGTTTTCAAATCCAGTTTTATGAGGCCAAACCCGTAGCCCTTGGTGAAGACATCCCGAGCAGGTTTGCCAAGGTCAATGTGCGTGGGAGGGACAGCCATCCTCTGCTCGGAGGCGGTAGCAGCGGGCGCCGTGGTGGACGGCTTGGGCTGCGGTGCCGAGGAACCGCTCGGCTGTACTTTTTAGGGGAGAAAATCGCCAGACATCTCCTGCAGAGAGGTTGGTTGTTGGCAATGGTCCACCTTTCCATGAAGAGATGACCCCTTAAACAACTGCCTGGTTTCGGAAACTAGGTGAGGCAGTTCTGTTTCTAGGAGCGGGAATCTTCTCCAGGGCACACAACAACATGCCGGACAAATGGGAGGACTTGGCTAGCAATCAAGGTGGGGAGACGGGTGGAGGTAACCAAGGGTGGCGGTTTCACTTCCCAACAACCAAAGGGAAGGCCCTGTCTCCCGATTTCCGCAGTTTTTGGTTTTTTTTTTACTTTGTCTTCTCAAGCTGGGCGTTGAAATTTTCTTTTTTGTTTTTGATGCCTGTTTTTTTTTCTAATTTTATTAGGGGCTCATACAACTCTTATCACAATTCATACATACATCAATTGTGTAAAGCGCATTTATACATTCATTGCCCTCATCATTCCCAAAATTCCGCAGTTTTTTAAAACACTTTAGGAATTTTATTCAC